ATCCCATTAGATGGATGAGTAAACTGAGGTGCAGAGAAGCTAAATACCTTGCCCAACATCACACGGGCGGTAAGCGGCATAACCGGAAATAAAACCCAGGGCTGGTGTACTCCGTGCCCCGCGCTCTTTCCCCTTCGCCTTCCTGCTGCATGTAAGTGGTCACAATAAACTTCCTTTGGTGGCACACTGGGAAGCTGTGGAGGAGAAAGCCTTTGCAGGTGGAAGCAGTCCATGGCCCACCACTTGGAGTGCTCCCTGTTGAAGGCAGGGCCCCTGACAAGACGCTGTCAGCAACTCAGCAAGGAGGCTCGTCTCTCACTCTGCCTGTCTCTGCACTCCTTTGAGAAGAGATGGCAAGTGGGGAAACTGAGGTTCCAAGAGCAGAACCAACTGGCCTGAGACCAGGCCCTCAAGAGGAGGTAAATCAAGATTAGGATGCTGACCTCTTGATGCCTGATCTCCTATGCATTCCTCTTGGTCTAGGGTGGCCAGAGACTGGAGCTCAAGATCTGGGATGGACATTAAAAAAATCTGCCTGTCAGCACTCTTGGCTTGTCAAGAGTCAAAAACCCTACGGTAAACTGGCTTGAGTGAAAGAATGTAATCATTTAACTGAAATCACTTAACTGAAAATCGAGGTGACTCCTTCTCAGGCCCATTGGATGTGGGTGCTCCAATGATGACACCCTTACTCTCTCTCTCCAGGTCTTGGCCCCGCTGTCCTCAGTCGAGGTCACACTCAGGAGTTTTCTCCATGTGGTGGCTCCAGAAGTTTAGCAACCCCAGGAGAAATAGAGCATCCATTTGCCCCAGAGTTCTAGCAAATGCCTTAGAATTCACTCTGACTGGCCTGAATTGGGTCATGTGACTCTCCCTGACCCTGTGACTCTGATTGGCCAGGACTGGGTCATGGACCTGTCTTTGGGGTGAGGGACAGAGTCAGCCCCACAGATCCGAACAGAGTGAGTGGTTGGGGGACATTCTGCCCACGAGATGAGGGTGCCGCTACCAGAAGATGTATTTGCAACATTACTTGTTCAGTAAAATGACATGAGTGATTTTTTTGCAGTTTTCAAATATTAGAAGAGTATTTCCTCAAATTTTTGTGCTATTTATAATGTACTGGTCACACATTTCAGGTTTAATCTGCACTATCAACATTTACTACCTCGCTTTCTTAAGTCTAGACAATCAACAAACAAGAAGTCAAGCCCTGCTCCTCAGGGTTTGCCCAGTTAGAGAGTGTAAATACTGTCCGATCTCAAGCTGCCAGTGTGATGTCACTGAACGCAGAGCTGGGAAGAGATGAGCAGTGATATATTATTATATCTCATTTTCATCAGTCAGGTACAGGAGACGTGAACAATCTCAAGAACATAGATCAAGGGTCAGTAAATAATAGCTGGTGAGCTAAATTGGGCTCAAGGCCTGTCTTTGAATGGCCTGAGTGAGTCTACATTTTTCAAGGGCTGTATAAATAAATAAATAGCCATGGTGGATGTGACTCAGTTGGTTGGGCATCACCCCATGCACCGGGAGGTCACCCATTGGATTCCTGGTCAGGGCACATGCCTGAGTTTCCCGCTTGATCCCCAGGAGAGGGTGTGCAGGAGGCAGCCAATCGATGTTTCTCTCTCATGGATGTTTCTCTCTCTCCCTGTCTCTTCCTCCCTCTCTCTAAAAATCAATAAAAACATTTTTTTAAAAAGTAAGTAAATAAACAACTATGCAACAGAGACCATATGTGGCTTTTGTCTTACTAATAAAAAAGGAAACATTAACCTGCATTCATCATATTGGAATTTCACTTATTTGTCAATTGCAAACCATAGATTGGCTACAGATACAACAGGTTAGCAAAAATCAATGCAATCATTCTGTGAAAACCAACAGACTATAGGGACAGTATTAAGTGCAATAAAGAGTATTGTATATTCTGTTGTTTTTCTAATTTATTTTTTTTCTAAATGCCCTCTATATTATAATGTATAGTAAGTTTATGTACTCATGTGTATAAATGTACAATTTATTTTTGCTAATCAGTGTTTGTCGCAGGCCCAGCACAGTGGAGGTGCCCAGGAATGAATAGATGAACAGCCCCGGTCATACTGTTTCCTTTCCCTGTAACCCTCTGTGGCTCCACATTGTCTGAGAAATGGTCAAACAAGTTCTTTCCCTCCTCCAAGCCTTTTATCATACTCTTCCCCCCTTCAGGATTGGGGGGGTGTGCTGTAAGGAGAGTCAAGGGAACCAAAGGCCTTGTGCACATGTGCTCTTTAGACAGTTTCCCTCTAGGGGAGTTGCCTTTGGGGATGTTGCCTTGACTTTTTATCTGTACTAGGCCCCCAGATCCTGTGACCCACAGGTCTATGAGGGACCTCATCTTACTGGAGCAAGCTTGAAATCCCTGCCAAGAAAGTGAGTTTCCCAGGCCTGAGAGTGGCAAGCCCCAGGGGCAAGCAGGAAACACCTAGTTACCTAAAGAATACCTCACTCAGGGACGTGTCTCACAGGCCCAGGCAAGAAGGACTGTGACCCATGATGGGAGGTGAAATCCAGGCTCTATCCATTCTGTCCTTAGAATCTCGAGCCCTCGGGGTGGTCCTGTGATGCCACGAGGAAGCCCCTTGCCCCACTGACATCTTCTCCAGACTCCTTGGTTACAAGCAGTGGAATTAAGCTGAGGGTCATTTTTTGGAAGAGTAAAGGTGTGAGACTGCGGGACCAGGCACAGAAAGGGGGCAGGAGCGAGGAAATGCCATAGGGTTGAGATGCAGGATCCACAGGCCTGACTCAGGGCCCAGAGAATCTCGTCCAGGCATGTGCTGTGATGAATGTCCTTGGAACTCATTCTAGCCCACACTTGAGGGGAACATCTGATTGGCTGAGGCTCCCTTTTCCAGCCCACTCACCACCAATGCTCTAATCATCTCCAGCCAAGAAGTGACCCTGTGAATGAATGAATGAATGAATGAATGAATAGGGTTTTCTGGCCTTCTCCGAAGACTTTCTTACACCCCCTTCCCTCGGCTTCCACACCTCTGTCTTAGTTTGTCTTACACTCGGCCTATCCCAGAGTCAGTGTGAAATGGAGCTGTTCTCTGGAAGGCAGAACTGTTCACTCTGTGCCACTCTCTGCCCCAGTTCAGTAGCCGCATCTGGATGTGATAAATAAATGCTCCCTGAATTCAACAGCGACTTGAAATAAGGCCTCCTCCAGCAAAGAGACTGAATCTTATTTATATGTTATCTTTCCTCTTTGGGCCCAGCGCAGTGATTTACATACAGCAGGGGTCCAATAATGCTCCTTGAATCAAATGCAGAGCAGGTAGGAATCGCCTACTGATTGTCAGGCACCGTGCCTGGCCCAGAGGGAAGTAGCACTTACTAAGCACCTATCATGTGCCAGAGACTGTGCTAGACACATTTAACCTCACAACAACCCTGTGGAGTAGGCACTGTTGTTTCACCCACTTTCCAGATGAGAAATACGAGGCACAGACAGGCCACAGACAGAACTTGCCTAAGCAGTGGAGCGATGGTTCCAGCCAGGCAGTCTGGCTCCAGAGATGACACGTTTAACTACTTTCCCCATTAAACAAGGTATTAACTTCTGGAATTAAACAAGATATTCTGATGCACCCATATGAAATTAAAAAACTACTATGATAAATTAGTCTCTCCAACAGACATCCATAACGGTCAAGCCCCACCCACCCCTCGGGGGAACTGGGCTCGGGGACAGAGTGAAGATGACACTTTACCCACAGCTTGAAAAACAAAAAGCTGCACGTCAGGTAACTGTTTGTCAGGGCAGTGAGAACATTATGTCCCCTTCTCTGGAGAGGTTTGGCAGCTGTGATTCCCAAGGGCAGAGCTGTGAAAGGGTAAAAACTGGGCACATTTGTGACCTTGACACCAGGACTTCCAGACCAAACAGGGCAGTGCCATGTCACACTCCTGCTCAAGCCCCACGAGGTCCGTGCCAGGCTTTCTCGCCAGGAGAAGGCAGCTGGGACACCAGCCTGGCAACAACAGTGTGGCTTTTACGGTGCAACCTCGAAGGAGGCTCCGGCTCCCCTCTCAGCTGGTTTGCTCTCTGCAAAGCCCCCAGTCACATCCTGCGTGGCAAGCCTGCCTGCCACAGACAGGAACCAGGTCTCCAAGTTCCCTCAGCCACATGTTAGGGGCGTTGACTTCAAATACCAGCTGGGATAGAAGCACTTCCTCGCAGAAGCTCCTTTTATTTCACTAAATGATTCCGTGTGACCGTTTCAGTGGGTTGCAACCTTAGGTACTTATGAAAAATACAGGCCCCCCGGCCCATCTTAGACCTCAGAAATCAGACTGGGGGCTGGGAGGGGGAGTGGGGCGGTGGCTTGGTGCCCTTTCCACCTCGCCAAGTGATTCAGCTGCAGAACTAGGTTGGGAGTCATTCAGATGCTTGATGAGTCATGTGGTCTCTGCTCCCCTCTCCAAAGAGTACTTGAACTACACCCCTCACACACTGGCCCGGACATGCTGGCCTATTTCCCCGAACACATCCAGCCCCTTCCCTCTTCGGGGCGACGCTCGAGCTGTCCTGCCAAGAATGCAGCTCTCAGGTCTGGAGCCAAGGTCTCTGCTCAGGCTCACCCCAATGCGTTGTCTTAGCCCTTTGTTTCTCCTGTGCGGTAATTGCCTCTCCCCAGCAGTCCGTAAGCTCCGTGTCACCTCACCACTGAGAGCCCATTGCCTGGGTCTATGATAGGCAGCATAGGTGCCTACTGAATCAATACACGCAGTGGCACAGGCACACAAAGAGCAGGGACCAGTTAATTCTAGAAGGTGGCAAAGGAGACACTCACAAGGGAGGGCCTAGGGCAGGCCAGACAGCAGGAAACGTTTCACCCGCCCCCCACTTCCCCTGCCAACTCCCCCACCTCCCTCCAGCACACGTTCCCCTACAGCCCAAGAAGAACCAGGTCCCGTATTCCCAGAACACCATCAGGACCGTGGAGCCAGAAGAGTCTAGATAAGTTTATTGTCATTCAAATATTTCATACAAAAAGGAGCATAGTAATGGGGTTAGGGTTTATGAAAAAATATTTTTAAATGCAGGTTTGTAGACATTGCTCTATTTACAACGGAGAGCAAGCTCTCCCCAACATCACGCACAGCAGCTGCACTTGTCCAACGCTCCTTTGCAGATGCAGCCCTGGGCACACTTGGCACAGCCCACGGGGCAGCAGGTGCAGCAGCCTGGGGAGACAAGGCAGAGAAAGAAGTCAGAGCAGACATTACAGGCACCTCCCTGCCCAACAGCAGGCCTGGCACCAGCTTCCCCACCAGTCCCAGCCAACCCTAAGTTTGAGGTGGCACGTGCTGTCCTGCGACAACTCGTAGGGCCTTTGGAAAAGGTCCCACCCACTAGGTAAAGGCTGCCCTGACATTCTGAGTCCAGACAGGGCAGAAAGCCTAAAGAGGCAGTGCCAGGGCCTCCGGGGGCAATGGAAGTCAGCCCCCAGCCTCCCAGAATCACACAATGAAGTGAGGAAAGTCTTCGAGATCAGAGAAGGGGCACCCCCCTGCCACAGCAGTGCCCAAGAGGGTCCAGAAAACTTTGGGCTGACGCTACAGGAAAGGGCTGCACCAGCAGGTTGGAGAAATGAAGTTCACGTGCATGAAGTGCTCAGAACACTAGAGGGGTCAGAAGCCTGCATCAGGAGACACGTTCTAGTTCTGGCTCCATCCCTGACACTCTTTGGTGACTTCTCTGGACCTTAGTGTCCCATTCTAGAATGAGAGATTAGACTCAACCACTTCTATGGCTCTTTCAGCTCTGATTCTGATTCAGTTACTGAGGGAAGTGGGGTAGAGATGCTTGGTCTCTGGGCTGAGGGCTCCCTCCTCTGACTCAGCCCAGCCACAAATTCCCAGAAAAGGGCCCTCACTCACTCTTCTTGCAGGAGGTGCATTTGCAGTCTTTGCATTTGCAGGCGCCAGCACAGGTGCAGGAGCCACCTGCAAGGAGGAGAAAGACAGGCAGTGAGATGTGTGACTCGGGAGAGACAGCAATCAATCAACAATCCCTCCCTGCACCTCCTCTGTTGGGACCCAGCACTGGAAACTCCTTTCCCACCCAGAGCAGGTAAAGAAAAGCCTCACTTTCTCTCTTTTAGTACCAGGGAGGTAGGTCCTCTCCTGATTTTACCCCAGAGGGAGGTCCCAGGCTCCAGACACAGCTCAGGCAGACCCGGGCTGGGGTCCTATGTCCTGAACTGCAAACAGGCTATGTCCCGACCTCCCATCAAATCCTGGCAGCACCGAGGCCTGGACAGAACAGTGTCCCAGTCCAGCAGCCCCCTGACCCACTGGATGACCTGGAGAACGGCAGCCTTGAGCCTCAGTACCCTCAATTCTAAAATAGAGACAAAGAGAGACTGAAAAGGCTCCCAGCAGCTTGGCTAGGAGGGACGCACTGATCAACGACAGGCTTCCTCTACCCATCATCCAAACTCTCCCTGCTCCACCCCAAGGTCACTCTGTCCTGTGCTGGGGAAGGGGCACCCTAAAGCCTAGGCTCCGGGGTCCTTACCAGTGGAGCAGGAGCAGTTGGGGTCCATGTCGGTCAGAGGTGAGGCTTCAGGTCCAGAGCAAGAGAAGGATCACTCGTGCTTGTCCAACGCGTGGTGGCGCCGAGGGGCCCGAGCGCTCCCTTTATAGGCAGAGGCTGCGTGCGGCCCGGGCGCAGAGGCCCCGCCCGCCTTGCACCCGGCGGGGCGGA